CTTCAGGGCTTTTAATTTCCGATCTAATACATAACTGGGAGACCCCCTGAACTCATAAGATGCCCACCAATCTTATACTCGCTCCCCAAAGCCTTCTTCTTTTAGCCACATCTTCTCAAGTCTAAAAAGCCTTTTTTCACTCCACCTCACATTCCCCGTTAACAATATAGGGAAATGATCAGAATACACCCTCCCTAATCTCCTCTGTGTGACATCTAGATATTTGGCCTCCTACTCACCACTAATCAAAAAGCGATCTATTCGGGATAAAACAAGTTGATCCCGATTAGATGACCAGGTGAAGTCCGCTCCAATCAGAGGTATGTCTACCAACATATTTTCCCTAATAAATTCTAAGAAATCCTTCATAGCCCCTATTAATCTCCCGACTCTAGACCTCTTAGAAGGAAACCGAACCACATTAAAATCCCCCCAATGCACGTTGGAATGTTCCACCAAGCCATCATCCCAACCAACTTATCCCCAATGTTTCTTAACGAAAGAAACAAGGAAAATAACCCTTCACTGGCCTCCTCCTTCTCAAGAGCTCTAGTGTCCCACATGACTAACACACCTCCTGAAGCCCCCAATGACCCCATATATTGATATTCGACATGCTGTCCCCCCATAAACTGCTAACAATCGTCCTCTAGATAAACTCTATCTTCGTTTCTTGTAGGCAGACAAGGTTAGCCCTCTATCCCCTTAACAGATTTCGAACACCTAACATTTTTCCCGCTTCATTAAGCCCCCTTACGTTCCAACTAATTATTTTTTATTTATCTTGATGCTCTCTCATTCGTCCCAAGCAAACCTTTCTTTGACATGACACCCTTGACATCATAATTCACTAACCATTTGAGCCGCTTAAGTTCACAATCACCCTTCCTTCTTGATTTGCTGCCTTGTATACTCATCCCTTGTCCCCTACTAGCCTCAATTTCTTCAAATAATTGCAGAAGTCTACTTTCATATCCTTCACATGACGCACCAACCAACTTGCTGAAGTCCTGAATTTTTTGAAGAACTCAATTTGAAGATGGGGTCTCAACTTCAATCACATTCAGTTTTGTTGTTTCCTCTGCATGACGATACTCCAAAGGATCACGTGAACATTCCTCTACTTCCTCCACCTGCTCAATATCACTGTCTGTTCCTCCCTGCTTAGCACCATCTACCCACAATACTATCACTTTGTCAGTCTCTAATTCCTTTTCTTTTGGGGGCTTTGAATGCCTTCTATTATATGTGTTCCCCATCATGGTTCTCGGGCATGTCGCCTTGTTCTCTTTCAGTATTGTAGAGACCGATCCATCTGCCAATACATGTCCCGTCGCTTGCTCTTGCTCTCGCTCAAGAAATTAAATAACTTCAGGGATAGAAATTTAAATTTTTATTTTAAAAAATAACTAACCCTAATCTTAAATTGCAAGCAAGGACCCAAAATCATAAAAATTACATCTTAGGCCCCCACCCAAAAAAAATAAATAAACAAAAACCATCCAACCGTCTATATCTCTCTCTCTCTCTCTCTCTTTCTTCACCGGCACCGCCAGCACTGTAGCACCTTAGCGTCGACGGCAACTGCACCGTCGGCAAGAG